CCCGGGCTCGGAGCCGCCCCGCTGCATGCTGTGGGGAGACACGGTCGCGATAATAAATGATAGAGGATACAATGACTTTGCTGTCTCTGCTGGGTCGGATCATGCGTTACTTCTTGCTCAGACCGGAGACCCTGTTCTTGCTGTGCATCAGCCTGGCCCTGTGGAGTTATTTCTTCCACACGGATGAGGTGAAAACCATTGTTAAGTCCAGCAGGGATGCGGTGAAGATGGTGAAGGGCAAGGTGGCCGAGATCATGCAGAATGACAGGCTCGGGGGTTTAGACGTGCTGGACGCTGAGTTCTCCAAGACCTGGGAGTTCAAGAGCCACAACGTGGCTGTCTACTCCATCCAAGGCCGCAGGGATCACATGGAGGACAGGTTCGAAGTAATCACCGACCTGGTGAACAAGACTCACCCCTCCATCTTCGGGATATTTGATGGGCACGGAGGAGAGGCAAGTGCTCAGCTGGAAATAACCAATAATTCAACAACACCAAAAAAAAAAAGGGGGGTGCGGGAGGGAGGATGGTCCAAGGCAAGGCGTGGATGTGTTCTCACCCACCAGGTTTGTGTGGTTGTCTTGTACATTGTGGGGAGGGGATTTCCTTGCTTTTTGTCTCTGAGAAAGGGCTGTGTAATCCTCCCTTCCCTTTATCCCTCCTTACCCCTTCCACTCTCAGCACGGCACAAATGTGCCCGTACCCCCTTTGCCCTTTGCAGTAGTAGAGGTTTAATTGAAGGCAAGGCTGCTGGAGGTGGCTCTGACGTGCGTGGAATAACGATGATGAGCACAAACTCCCCGGAGTCATCTTTTGTTACAGCCAAGTGTGCTGTGATGTGATTTTGGCAGCGGGCTGGCTGCTCCCCCGGACACAGCCGGGCTCATCGGCTGAGGTGGAACAGCAGCGCTGCTGGAGGATGCTAAAGTGTGCAAAATGTGCTCTGGGTAATTCCCTGTCCAGGGAGCCGAGCACAGCGCGGTGTTTGGGAATTGTGTTTGGGAGTTTATGTCATTAAAGCGCGCTGGAGGGAAGGCAGCAGAGCCGGCATCGTGGCGCTCGGGGCTGGGCGACCTCGCCGCTCTGCCGGGCACGCCGCTATCGGGCTATTCCGTGGGCTTGCGGATGACAAATGTTGGAACTGCAGCTTCCTCTGCCTTGAGGATGTGGTGCTGCCACGCAGCTCTTGGTGTGGCACAAGGCACGCGTTTCGTAACTGTGGGCAAGGACGAGGAGTTCGTCCTTGTGTGGCAAAGCAGCCCCGGCTGGGTGTGAGGGAACCCGCTGGGGTGATGGGAGAAACGCTGGGAATTTTCCGTGAGGGAGGGTGTTCCTCCAGATCCGAGAGTCCAGATCCTTCCTGGAAAAGCTCTGGCAGTGCCCAGGCACTCACGGGGCACAGGGGTGGCAGCTGCTGCCCTGCTAAACCTGGAAGGGCTCCTGGAAAATCCAGGCCCTGGGCTCGGCTGCCAGGCTTGGGAAGGGACCTGGGCTCTCCTCGCAGTGTCGGCTCTTTGGCCCCCTTTAAATTAACGCAAACTCTTTGGGGATTAAGGATTGTCGGCTTCATAAAAAACGCTGAGCCCTGTTTTGGGGGTATTCTGTCTGATTTCAGGTGAGCACAGCAGTGCCAGCTCCTCCTGGCATTCCCAGGCCAGTTCCCTGGGCATGAAGGCAATGTCTGTGGAACACGGGTGGCAATGTCCGTGTGTCCCAAAGCATTCCCAGCTTTTCCCATTTTCTTTTTTTTCCAGGAGCCCTGAGCAGTTCCTTGGGGCCATCTGGCTCCTTTGTGGCCGGGGGAAGGTGCCGGGCTGTGCCTTTGTGTGAGCTGAGTTTCCTTGTGGGAACCGAGCAGCCCAGACAATTGGGGAAATATCTGAGTGGTGTTTTCAAACAGAGCGCTCCGAGGTTGTGGGATCCCGGCTGAAAGGGGGATCTGATTTCTTTCATTAATTTTGTAGCTTGCCCTGCACGAGATGGCGAGCTGAGGGTATTGAATAACCCCCAACCAACGCAGGGAATGTTGGCATTTAGCTAATGTGCCCCGTGGATATTGCCTGCTTTGTTGGGCATCTTGAAATTCCATCCGTGGCACGCATTAATGCTGGACCCGTGGAAAACTCATTGGCCTTTTGTATTCTGCTTCCTCAGAACTCGCTCTGATGGATTCAGTGGCAAAGCACAGGCAGGTTTTTAATTTTGAAAGGTTCAGCAGAACTCTCCACAGATCTTTTCTAAATTTAGTGGTTTATAAATGTACCCGTCTCGCATCTGTTATTCATAATGGAATCCTAAGTGTTCTTCATGGCCTTTACTCCTACAAAAATAAGTTAAGGACCTAATTAGTTTCGAGTTTTACATTTTAGGTAAAACTGTTCAGAAGAACATGAAGTGTGTGCTGAGCATACAGCAAAAAAAAGAAGAAATAATGAGGAACAGTTTTTATTCCTAGCAGGTTTTGAGTAGAAAGCGAGAGAAGAAATAAAAATTTATGCTCTTATTTAATCCCTAGTACATAACACTACATTTTGTGTCTCTATTTGAATGGGGGTTTTGTATGTCTTAATTTATTTTCGTTTTTTATGAACATCAAATACTCTGTGAAACACTTCATCTATGCACTTAGCGAAGCCTTTGCGAAGGTTAAATTTTCCATATGGGCTCCCATTAAATTTCTTTATGTATATTTAAAGAATAAAGAACAGCTGATCCCTGGGGTTACGTGTGAAACAGACTGTTCTATATGGGGAGAAATTTGTTTTTTCAAGCAGCCAATACCAGAAATGAGATGCCAGGTTAATTATTTGCAGCTATATGCAAGGGAGCCTGTCTCCATTAATTACTTCCTGCCACATCCCATTGAAGTGGAAGGATGGAGGAGCGTGATTCAAGCAGCTTCAATTACTGTGCACTGCTAATTTATGAAGATTTCTGAGCTTTCATATCCCCAACATTTTGCATAAATTCTACTTTTCTCTGATGTCATTTCCTCTTCCAGCTTCCAGTTTTAGCCTGGATGGGTTGGCAGACATTGCTTTGGATTTTGTGGGTGGCTCGAGAAGGGAGCAAGCAAAAATAATTATTAATGCTCTGGTTTGCTGCAGTAACTTCTGAAAGGCAAGAAGATTTCAGAGAGAAAATTGGATGTGGGGTGTGTGGTGCAGTCTTTTATTTAAAGGTTAGTTTCTTGGAGAAACTTCTTTTATTAAAGGTTAATTTCTTGGAGATATAATGGTGATGATGATGATGATATAATGGTGATGATGATGATAATAATAATAATAACAATAACAATAATAATAATAATAATAATGCAGAGCAGGTAGAGGTCAAAGAAGAGACCTTTCTAGATCTTCCTTTCATCTTTCTGGATTTAGAAAGAATAAAGAGAAGTTGCTGCCTGTTGTCTCACTGAATGACTTTGGCCAAAGGATCATCCTTCAATGTGATTGAACTTAGAAAAGAAAAAAATTTCTGTTCTCTCATCAGTTTCTTTTTAAGGTTTAAAAATGGCTTGAGTGCTTTTCTTTTTCTTGTCCTTTTCCCTTTATTTAGGAATTTTGGGGCTGTCCAGGCTGGAAGATGGAGCAGTGTGAAACTCCACAAATGACCAAATAACAAATGATGAGCTGCGAAACCGAGCAGAGGAAAGGCTGGCTGCTTAATGAGAGTGATTTCCCTATTTTAACTACCATTTACTCTCAAATATTTAAGGTTTAAGCACGCAGTTTAATGAGATCTCAGCATTAGACAAGGGCAAAATAGCTCAGCTCCCATCTGCAGTTTTATAGTTATGGCTCTGCTGTAAATCATTGGTTTTTTTCCTAACCCTGTGGGGTGAAGGTTTTAAAAATAATTATGGTAATAGATAGTACCTTCCTCTGCCTGGGCTTGTTTGCAGTTGTAAACGGATGTGGGAAATTACAGCTCAGTAACTGTCTCATAAAAAAATGTCTCTTTTTTTTTATTTCCCTCCACCTCCTGAGCGGGGACGTGGCAGGACTTGTCCCTCATGATGTGTAGCTGTGGGGAAGAGCTTTTTCTGCCTGGAATAATTGGGCTCTGGAGCTGCTGAGCCGGTGGTTTAGGATGGAAAATAACACCTTTTTATTTTTTATTTTTTATTTCCCAACACGGGGAAAGGCTGGGGAGCTGGAATGGGGAAGGAGAGAACGGTGTGGAAGTGGGGCTCAGGACCTTGATATCAGCAGCACCGAGCGCTGGCTGAAGCCTCTGGTTACTGATTAACTGAGAAAGACACAAAAAAAAAAAAGGAAAAAAAGAAAGGGAAAGGTCAGAAGATAACGGTGGGGAGTCCTGAGGAGCCTGGGGTGAGGCTGTGGAAATGGGAATGCTGAGGTGAGGCCTGGAGGAGAGGGCACTGCGCCAGCTGTGTTTGAACAAACCTGCTGTGCATTCCAGCCCAGCTCTCTGATCCTGACAGCACAAGGTGTTTGTGCTGTGCTGAAACAAGAGAAAGCTGCCAATTTCACCATTTTAGTTCATTTTTTGGTGGTTTTTTTTAATCTGCTAATTCTCATTCCAGCCCCGTCCTTGTGATGCTGAGCTACTTAAGCAATGTCAGCAATGAAAATTTATCTATCAGGCCATTCAGGACTGATGGCTTGGGATTTTATAAAAGGTAGGAATAAATCAAACACAGGCTTTGGAGTTTCTCTGGATGTTATAGCTCGGTTGTAAGGAGAAGTCTTTGAGGGTTTGCAGTTTTTAAACAGAAACTGCCAGCGTGGTTTTCCTTTTATAGTAACTTCCTTTGGTTTCTAATCTAGAATCTATTGCAAAGTGCCCAAATGTTTGAATAAATATTTACATAGGTGAGGTCATGGTGATAGGCAAGTCCCAAATCTGCTTATGAATTCCCCTCCAGTAGCCTAAAACACAAGTCAGAAATGATCTACAGGAACATTCCTGTCATTTTGTTCAGTTCATCCAAGTTTTATTCTTGCGTATCATGCTCCAGGATTATGATTTTCAGCCTACGACACCATGCTGATTCGATTCAGGGTTAAACTCTATGCTCATTTGCTGTACAAAAATTGATTAAAATGCTGTAAAAAGCTGTAATTGGAAGGAGGGACTTTAATTGCCGCCATTCAGGGCTGTATCATTGGGTGTGGGATTGAGCCTTTTTTCAATGTTGATAACAATCAAGAAGTCAATTAATTTTTAATGTGTTTTGCCAGCTTTGTTTTAATCGGTGTGTTTCCCTGTCTGGGCTGTCAGGCTGCCAACAGATTGCCACTGGTTTAATGAAATCAATTTTTGATTATGAGAGGGCTTTCAGATTATGAAAGTCATTGAAGTTTTTCCCCGTGAACTTGAGGAACTCAGGACTCCTCCACGGGACGTGTCCCTGTTGGGAATTGCTGTGCATGGGGAGGAAACAATCTTGGAGCAGTGGGATTTTAATCATTTCTGTTCCCTAGCTCAGGAGTTTGGGTATTTTTGTGTGAGAGAAAAAAAAAAAATTCAGGTCCTCTGTCGTGTGGGTTAATTAAACCAGCAGATTGCTGTGCCTCCAATGTGGCGTTTCCAGCAGCTCTTTTGGAGCACAGTAGGATTTCTCCTCCCTCCCTTTTTGCTAGAAACCCAAATATTTACGGTGTAAATTGTGCCTTAAAGCTGTGATTTGGCTTCTGGCAGTTTCACTTCTGAAACAATCTCCTGGCACGTGGTTGCTGTGTTTTGCTGCTGGCTGGTTCCCGCTGGTGGCTGCAGTTTCCTGCAGCAGTTCTGGCACTGTGGCCGTGTCCCATGCTCGTGGCAGGATTCCCATGCTCTGCTTTTGCCACTTCTCAATTTTTTTTTATTCATTTTCTCAGGACTTTTCAGCCCTGCCCCTCTTCAGCTGGGGTTTTGTGTCTTCCTCGGCATGCAGGTGTTGCCAGCTCTGAGGTGAAATTCCAGCTGTCCTCAGCCTCAGCAGCCTTTGGCCACGTTGATCTGCTCAGA